ACTGCACAGCAAATGCAAAAGAACAAATATCATAACAAACAGCCTCTCAGACCACAGTGCAATCAAATTAGAACTCAGGATTAAGAAACTCACTCAAAACTGTACAAGTACATGGAAACTGAATAACCTGCTCCTGTATGACTACTGGATAAATAATGAAATGAAGGCAGAAATAGAGATGTTCTGCAAAACCAATGAGAGCAAAGACACAACGTACCAGAATCTCTGGGACACATTTAAAGCAGTGTCTAGAGGGAAATTTATAGCACTAAATGCCCACATGAGAAACAAGGAAAGATCTAAAATGGACACCCTAACCTCAAAATTAAAAGAACTAGAGGAGCAAGATCAAATAAATCAAAAGCTAGCAGAAGACAAGAAATAACTAAGATCGGAGCAAAAATGAAGGAGATAGAGACACACACACACACAAAAAAAAATCCCTTCAAAAAATGAATAAATCCAGGAGTTGGTTCTTCAAAAAGATCAACAAAATAGAAAATAACTACTGTATCTTCTAACTTTGGATTAGGCACACCTTATAAGATATCTTCTATATTCCCAGGTTGTCTTGAAACTTCCTCTGAGTTATCTATGCAACAGTATACTTCTTATGTGGTCGCAGAATCAGCTATGTGTACTCTCGACTTTGTTTTTGTTAGGTTTCCATTTGCTTTTGCAATGTAGCTTTTATAATTTGTCAATTAAAGTGTATAAATGGAAATGTAGCTTTTACAATTTGTCAATTAAAGTGTGTAAAAACAGAATACAACAGAATTTTAAAATATTGTGTGGCATCAGATAACTATGGTAGAAAATAATCTAATAGTTCCAGTAGACAGACCACTGAAATCAAAGAACAACAAGAGTCGATAACAAGAATTTACATGATAGCAGATTGGTAGATTAAAATAGCAGTGGAATAACATTTAGCAATCATACTAAAATTTATATCTACATTCTAGGAGAAAGTTTTGGTAACCAGACCTCAGAGGAAGGACCCATGGAATTCTATGAGGAAAGTCTTGGAATTTAGGAATGGTCATTGGAACATAACAGAAAATTTGTCATTTCCTTTAATGAGTTAGTAAACATAGGAACATTGTAATTTAACTGCAGTATAAAAGTTCAGGGCAACATAGGAATAAAGATATAATTCAGCTACATCATTGTATTATTGAATCTGCTTCTTTTTGTTTTGTTTTGTTTTGTTTTGTATTCCCTTGATTAGGAAAGGGGATTGAATCCCTACCCTGGACCAGAGCTGTCTGGGCCTGCATTTAGAGCTTCATCTGATGGATTTAGGAACAAGGAACCAGACAGGTTATTAGACCAGAATTTATTTTACTGAATTTGGAGCACTAGTTTATAAAATGCTTTTCTGGATATTGAAGAGTTTATTCATTGTAAAATTTTACTTTTGATTGCTCCCCTATATCATCTAGTCCACAAAATGGCAGGTAAAAATAGGCCTATTATACAATACTTAATGGCATTATAATTCTGGTTCTCTAACACCAACATCTTAATGAAATGCTACCTTATTTTCTCTGTCTAGAATAGCAACCCCACAATAATTCCAAAGATGCTAATTATATTATATATTTACATGTAAAATATTCATGCATTTGAGTCTTGTGATGAAATATAATATACTTTGAGCTCTAAACAGTAGTTTTGAAAAAGGAGTTTGCCAGATGAAGCTGTAACTATTACTCAAGTCACAGTTTCTTTTAGTCTCAGTTCTCTATTAAAAGAACGTAGCAATAACTAGTCTACCCTCTTCACATAACCTTGTAACAATCACAATAATTGATGTCAAGAGAAACTCTGGAAGGCATGAAGAATCTTTGTTTACTTTCTAGTCTCTAGTTTATGTCAAGTGTAACTGATGAGTCCACACCAGGAGCACAAGGATTGTGACTTTAATGTTGCTTGGGTCCACCCAGTTCAGAAATTCCTCCTAAACAATACCCAGTAGCTTACTTTTTATTTCCTTTCATTTCATAAGAACAGTATAAGTTGTAGTTGAGAAGAATATAACTTCTACTAGGAATTAACTGTACACAGAATACTAAATATTTAACAAATATGTAAGTAGTTATAAAAATAAGGATGATAACGATACTAAGTAACATCAAGTAATAATATCTATCATTCGTTAAGACCATGATAGAACAGTACTACAGATTATTAATTTATTCTCTACAATCTATGCTTGAGATATTCTTATTACCATTTTATTGATTAAAATGAAACAAAACAAAAATACCATATTTCAGGATGTTAAGTATTACACTCAAAATGAAGAATCAGAAATTGGATTCAGGTTGACCTGTCTTTAAACCAATAATAGCTACTATGATTAACTGAGTATATAGCAGTAGGTATGTTTCTGTGTAAACTATCAAGTATTACTTAGCGCTTTAACAATAACAATAGGGAATATGAGTTCCTCATACTTGCTGCAGTGCTTGCTATATTATTGAATCTTGTTTTAATACCAAAAATTATTCTCTTTTCAATGATATATTTAGGTAAACGCAGACAGGTATGGTTAAGGAAATGCGTTTGTTCTTACATTATATGTAACTTACAAATTCACAATACAGATTAAATGTTTATCTTTTTCCTAATACTGTCCAATAAAAAGAATTTATAACTAACAATGATATATTGTGTACTTCAGACAAACCAAAATTTCAGTGTAATATTCTTATAGGTCTGTTTTCATTATGCATTTTCCTTTGCCTTTATTTATTCCAAAACTTACATCTCTATAATGTGAGTCTAAGTTTTGTGCTGATCATATTTATTCAAGTAAAACTCTTCACTATTACAACTCAAAGTTTCTAAAAAATTATACTTGCATTGGATATAGGTCTTGTACACCTTCCCAAACTCCCTCAACTGCCTTCACCATAATTGTTCCTGGTTGATGCTCTGCTTCTTCTAGATGACCTCTTCTTTTCTAGACTTGGAAGAAATGCTTCACTTGCTGCATGGCCACCAAGAGAACAGAGGCAGATTGAAGTTTCAGTGACTAAACTCCCTCCTTATCTGTAGACTATGTGTAGGGAGAAAGGTGGCAGGTAAATTCTTCTGCCATTTGCTCTTCCAGAAATCTGGAATTCCACTAAACAAGTGATCACTCTGCTGACTGACCTGCTTTATATTTTACAGCTCTTTGTGAAGTCATGCTTCTCATTGTTTTGCATCTTTCTTAGCATCTCTAGTGTTTTTTTTCCCCTAAATAGTCTCATAAGTAAATCTTTAGTATTATATACTTGGTTTTCTGGAAAGCTATAATAACACTTAAAATTACTGAGAATTTGTTAATTTTATTTTTAGTGTCCTTAGGTCAGTGATTTTTAAAATTGCATTTTTTTTTGGTGGAGGAACAATTTCTTCAAATACATTATCAGAAGGAAATCAACATGTTTAAGTAGAGGAACAGCTGCTAAATTGAAGTAACAATTGGTGTGTGTGTTTGTGTGCAAGTGTATGTGTGTGTTGTCTGGAATCCTAACTTTTCATCTTGCTTTCCCTTGAGGAAATGCTGAAGTACATCTTAGGAAGCCATAGAGCTTACTGCTCAGCAGATGATTTGAAACTAAGTGCTCTATTTCTGATGCTCCTTGTTACTTCATATCCTTGTAAAAAATATAGGACCTTCTGAGGTATCATTCTCCTCTAATACAAACTCAGCAGAAAGCCTTGCTAAGATCGATGGAGATGAGAATACTGTCTCCTCTTTGTTATTATAGAAGGAGTTATTTTCTCTCTGTTTTTCTCACTCTCCCTCTCTCTGTTGCTCTGGCTCTCTCTCTCTCTCTCTTTCTCTCTCTCTCTCCTCACTTTGTCAGGAGAACAACTTATATTCTAAGTACTCCATAAAAAATAATGTTCCCCCATTTCTGAGAAGATTTTTACTTTTTGTTTTTTTCCAACTTACATTGAACCACCCACTTTTCTGGCACTCTGGCTGTACCTGCTTGAATTTTCTTACTGGACTCTTACATGTGCACATACATATTTATTATAGAAATATTTTCAAATCATAAAGGGATAAGGACATAGAATTATAAAAGCTCTATTAATTTTTAAAATTGAACTATCTGCATGCAATTATACAAAGGGTCTACTAGAATTTGCATTTCATTAATACCCAAAAATCAACTGAATAAGCATTTATTGAGAGCATACTTTCTTTAAGATCCTTTACTAAGAAAAAGAATCACCCAAATATAAATGTCATAAACTACTGGAAAATATAAAAAGTACACAACAATGACTCAATTCAGATTGTACTACATGATACCAACAGATGGAAACAAAGGCATTTGTTATGGGAACAGAAAAGCATTAGGTGATTAGTATTGAGTAAGAGGATCAAAGAAGGCTTCATGGAGTAGATGACAGTTGAGCTGAAACTTGAACTACTTCAACAGCCTAAGAAGATAAAAGGTACAGAGAGAGCATCACAAGCAAAATGTGGAGGTGTGATATGCTCAGATTACAAGTATTCTGAGAACTAAGGAGGATAGTTTTCACTTGTAAAGCAATTACCACCAGTAGTCAAAACATTTTAGAAGGCAGAATGCACTATTACAAATCATGCTGAAGCACTGCTCCACAATGGCAAATTTTTTAAATGCTTGACACATATTCGGTATAAACGTTGTGCAATATCCAATATAGCTCATAGGGTGTCTTGATTAAGATCTAGAGGAGAAGTGTGAATGAAGTCCCATGTCTAATTTGTGCCTTAGATATTTAAATTTTCCAACCAAAAGCTATCATTCCATTTGTGTAAATAAGTCAGGGGTCCAAAAATATCATAGAAAAGCAGCTAGGATAACAGAAATTTTAGAAGAGTGTCTATCATAGTTTATGGAAATAAAGGAGGCCCTAATTACTTTGTACCGTTTAAAGTCCATGTTAAACCAAGACTCTTCCCAAGGTTTTTACCTCCCATCAATGCTGCCCAGAGAACTTACAAAGGCCGTCAGCTGCTCACCCTTTCCAGAGACATCCCTGCTTCTTGACAGCCCTTGTCTCCTTAACATACCTCCAGCCTTCTTCAAGCAGCATCGGGTCTGCTCTGAATCTGGGTCTGTTTAGGCTTAAAGTCTCTGCTTCTGTGCTATTCTGAAAGTCAAAGGAGAGATTTCCCAATTAAACCAGAACATGTGCAGCTATGCTTGCAAATGTGTCACATTAGCTTGGATTCAAGTATAAGTCCAAAAACCTGTAGTCAACCTCCTACTTACATCTGTGAATAAGCACATAAGCAACTGCAGGGTTGTTCAGGCTAAGCAGATGGATGGTCCTGTCAGGAACAGATTGTGGTAGAGCTGGGATGTAGGATGAAATGCCACCCCCTCTGAACTGAGAAACATATTCACTAGCAGGAAAGACGTCCTTTTTAATGTAGATATTCTTTTTAAATTCTTCACATTTAACTGATACTAAGGAAAGGTTAAATCCTTTTGTCCTCCAAACATTTTTTTCCTGTTAGTTTTGTTTTCTTTCATTTCATTCTACTGGATTCATTTATTACGTCCACTTTAAATCGTAACTACCATTATATATATTTTAATGCTTTAATAATCATCAAACATTAACTAAATTTATTAACATGTCATAATATATAAAAAGCATATAATACATTTTACATAGAACAAACTAAGAAGTGAAGCAATTTTCAGATACATCCATTAAAAATTTGAAAATTATTTTATTAAAATTATTTGAATTTTATATATCTGAGCAATCCTTGAAATGATCATGTACATAATTATGGAATGTACATGAAATTAATGTTAATGTGCTTGAAAATACTGTCTTACTAAAAATAAAGCCTCTATGATAGTTTATTTTAACAATTTTCTTAAGGTACAATTCTATTTTAAGGTAAAGAAAAAAATTATTTTAAATTAGGTCTATATTCCATAACTCCTTCTCTAACAGTTTTATTTACCACTTAAGCTCAAATGAAGGCAAAATTTTAAATATGAACAAATATGATTGCATCATATGCTCTTGGTTAGGTATGTGTTAAACCATCTTATGCATCACACAAACTATCCATTTTCTTGAGTAACGTGGCACGTCTATATAGATATTCAGCATTTAAGCAGCATAAAAAACTTTGGAAGAATTTCATGTTTATATGATTTTGTTCCTTAATACTCAAGTAAACAAATATCAATGTTGGTCTGTTTTAAATGATTATGTTTTACATATAACAGTCCTTTACATGTTAGTAAATATATTTAGTGCCAGCTTTTGAGAAGTTATATTATCAGAAATTGCTCAATTGCCTTTAAGAAGAGGACTTCATTCTACATTTAATTCATCATTTAAAGGAAGAGTGAGTCTCAGGGAATTATTATAAAGTTTTATTTCATAGTGAATTTAAAAAATAATTCTACTGAGAAAGGCCACTCATTTGCATATTTTTCTTATTCTTTTATAAATATTCTTTTCTAAATATTAAAAGCCCTTTGGAAATGGTGTTAAGAGAAAGGAGAAGAATTCTATTTGGGAATTCATGACTTATTGTAAGGGACACCACTAATACGATTATATTGCTCTAAAGCGTTTTTTTTTTTTTTTATGAGTATGTAGCATTTTTAAGGAAAACAACTTTAATTTTCATACACTATTTCATTAGTTGAGTAAAGTAATTACAGACTGGACTGTAACTTCAGATTTGGGACATTTATAATTACTTCTCAAATTAGAGAGATTATCTTGGAATAGTATGTGATATTATAGCTAAGGAAAGAATAGAAGTGGAGAGGGGATTGTTGGATAAATTACTTGTATTTGTTCAACTAACAATTAACAAGGGGTTGTTAAGCAATGATAAGCAATGATATGTGCTTGAGATACAAAGATTTTTAGGAACATTAACTGCTCACGCAGAGATCATTATTCACTGGGAGAGGTAAATGTACAAATAAAAATATTAATGAAATATAATAAATGCAAGAGTGAAGGAAAATGCCAAGCACAATATTAAAGATGTGGGCTGGTGTCTTCCCACTGCTTAAAATAAATATAATACAAGAAAAATAAATTGAGGGAATAACTGCTAAATATAAACTTTTATTCCCCCATTGGCTTTAATATTAGGCAAATATTTCAACTGAAGAAAGTTTTAAGATAATCGAATTTGAGAAGTAATTGTAAATATCCCAAATTTGAAGTCATAGTCCAATCTATGATTGCTTTACTCAACTAATGTAAAGAAGAACTTGATGATTTAGGATATTTTCTATCCAAAAGGCAAAAGAAAAAATTAATTTAAGAGGTTTGATATCCAGAAAGTACGCCTTAGAGGAATGATTGAGGGTATGGCTGTATAATCTTGTACTGGTTCCCCATAAAGATTAGAAGCTCAGAATATTCAGTAATGCAAAAGAGTTTGTAACAGATTCAGAGCATGATTCATAGATCTCCTCAATCCAATAACAGAATATCCAGGAAGATAAAGGGCATCCTCTCAATAATCTCAGCAAAAGTCAAAAATAAAGAGGGGATTATCTAGGGAAGAACTGTGAACTACCATCTTGACCATTTGACATAATACATGTGATATACAGAGGAAACTCACAAAGTTCTTGTATATGTTACATGAGCAGAAAGACACAAAGAGAGAGAATTTGAAGTGAAAAACTGTTCAAGACCCCCAAAATACTACAAGCAGGAAATAAAAAGATAAATATTCAGATGAAAACACATACTATGTTTTATAATAAAGAAAGAATGCCTCAGAGGGTGGAGTTGCCCCAGAAGGCAGAGTCACAAGCCACAGTAAATTATTTTCTGGCCTTCAAATCTGATGGAGTTTATACAACTGGCTTTTGGAATCGGTTGGGACAATAGCCCTTTTTATCTTCCATTTTTCTCTCATTTAGAACTGAGATGTTTTATATATATATATATATATATATATATATATATATATATAATCCTATGCTTGTCCCACCATTTGGGACTGATGGCTAAAGGTACAGTAAGTAAAATAGCTTTCAGAGAATACATTCCTATAGTGCATCGAGCACAATAGTAGATAAACTTTTTAAAAATATATATGGAAGATGGAATTGTATAATATTTATAAAAGTTATATATAAAGGCATTATAAATATTTTAGGTGTTTTGGCATGTCCAGGTTCAGATACCTAAAGTAGATTAGGTATATGAATTTGTATCTCAGAAAAAAATGGAGAACCATTATTACGTGAATATAGATGATATCATGGATATAGATACACTTACCCAAAGGGGTTGCTTTGAGTGAGAAGAGATGACAGTTTAGGATAAAACCAAGGAAATAATTGTGTGTTTAAAAGAAGGTCCAGGAGGAGAAGCTGGTGATATAATCTTAATGATATAAGCTAGTGATATAATCAAAATAAGTATTACATTCAAAATTATGAGCATTATATGTATGTTGACAAAAAAATACAAAAGAAAAGTATTTAACAACAGATTTCTCAATAGTCAAGTGCACCAGAGATGACAGGTAGACAGAAACTGAAAGACAACCAGTCGGTTGAGCAATTTGATGAGAACATCCATCTTAATAAAAGCATTGTTCACAGAATGGTAAAGTCAGAAGCAAAATTCTCAATATGGTAGAAGATTTCAGGGAGGCAAAGAAGTGGAAAGTGTAGTTTGCAACTTCAAGATGCTTGTTGATGTGCAACAGAGTGGGAAAGTTTTTCCTGTATGATTTGATATGCCTTTTGGCAGAAAAGAAAATGATGGCAAGGAGGGAGATTTTGAATAGGACTCAGAAGAGAGGCAAAATAACAAATCTGAGATTGTGAAGAAGGGAGTGAGTTCAGGGAAACAGTATAAAAGCTTGGTGTTGGTTTAGGAAGGAAGTTGCCACTTTCTATGAGACCAGATATAAAAAATGAGTGATGATAAAGTTAAATTTATTGACTAGCAGAAGGAAGGAGAGGCCAAAGCCACTTATGCCCAATAGCTTTTGTTGTATCCTTAAAATGACACATGTTTGTCTATGGAGAAGAGCATGAGTATAGGGTAGGACTGCTGAGGAGATTAAGGATAGCTGGTAATACCCTTTGTTTTAATGAGTTGGGGCTGCCACAACAGATGAGTAAACTGAAACACTGATAAATTATGGTACTTGCCACATTTACTCAGTAAATAGTATTATATAGTCAGCAACGTATCTATTTAATAATCACATAGTTATAACTTAATTTCAGAAAACATAGCCTTAAAACCTGTGTTTACCTTATACAATACTGTAATTCAGAGTAACAGAATCACTGAGACTCCAAATTTAGAAGATAATGAGAGTCAAGTTGAAGTAAAAACCATAAGATCTGGAATATATAGTATATACAGGGAAGCCATCAGGAAGTAATGCATACTGAAAAAAGTGAGGAGTCAAAGACAATGCCTTTGGAAAATTGTCATTGTTAGTATAAAACATATATAATTCCTAAGAGTACATGGACTGTCGTAGAAAATATATCAGTGACCACACTAATTTTACTCGTACTTCTCAATTAGGAAATCTCAATTATACTTGTACTCTGAATTAGGAGTACTGTATAGGGTAGAGTATAGGTTTTGAAGCTTTATGTCTTGGAATCAAATTATAATTGTGTGATGTATATTTAATGAGCAAACATGGCAAGTAACATAACTGACCTGTGTTTCAGTTTCTTTGTACGTAAAATCAATAAAATGGATACATAATAATTCATACTTCACCAATAGTATATTTGTGAGGGTTAACTGATAAAAAACATTTAACATGATTTAGAGCAGTGCCTAACACATACTAAGTGCTCAATAAATTTTAGCTATAGTTAATGCTGTTAATAGCATCAGTAGTATTGTATAAATATCTCATGAAACATTTTTAAAAGTGTCTTTTTGCCAAGTGAGGGATGATATCAGTAGCAGTGTTGCCTTTCAAAATTGAAAGTGAGACGTGTGAAGGGAAGGAAAGATGCTCTAAGTCTAAGAATTAAGGGATTGTGAACACTTCAATTAATGATTTAATTGAATAATGGATAATATTTCCTGTTTGGATAATGGAGGCAATGAAACTTTACAATTAGCTCTAGTCAGCAGCTCTTCCTTGAAATAATCTTTTGGGTAAACTTATTTTCCACATCCCCTACTGTAACTCCTA